TAGAACATAGATTATACAAAATATATACAAAATATTAATGCCCTTGTGGCGAAATCACTGTCCTTTTTTTCCCTTTCCAGTCGTATCCTTGGTGTCGTGCAGTTTCCATCGCAAACAGGAGTTATAGGTGAAACGACGTATGCAATGCCGATTATTCAATTAGGCGACCGCCATATCTACAGTCAGTCGAAGGCTTGAATGCTCAGCTTGCGCATATGTCAACACGCGCAGCTTACATTTCTGTTTATTTCTGCAGCAGCGCAGCTGACCACCCCTCGATTAATTCCCGATTTCCAGAGGCGCAGAGAGGGGGAGAAAGCTGTTCCTTTTTACTGCCCGCTAACTTTTCCGTGCGGAATCGGTGCAAAAGAAAAACTCCGGACCTCCTGTCAGCTGGTCTGTCGGTAGGACGTGGCCAGTGGCGGCTGTTTTATAATACGTACGCACTCGATATCAGGAATATGTGCAGGATGTCGGGGCTTTTACTCTGGTCTCTGGTCGCGTTGATGATCAGAGAAGCTGCTTTGGCATATAAGTGTTCAGGTGAGAGCTGGAAGTGTTATGAATTAATATACATCCGCCGCCGAAAACTGTTCTTCGAGATATGTACGCGTGAACGCGGTGAGCATATTTTGTATGACTTTTTCCCTGTCAGTAATGCAGTTTTCCTCACGTTAAACGTCAGATGAAAAAGCCATCTGGCCCGCCGAGTCAACAGCGCGTTTTATGAGTTGTAGTGAATTGTTTCAGCTGTCCACCAGCATAGTTCAGCAAGCCGTTTACTAATTATTTATTTATGCTAAGCTACACTGAAGCGCTGACATTATTTCTTCCGTAACCGTAAGAAACGGTGAGCGAATTCCGTTTCAGTTTTCCTGTATTTGCGTTTATTCGTTGTAAGGAAGGTGTTCAGAAGATGGATGCTTGACGAGGTGAATTTTTGATCGCCGTGAGCGACTTGTTGTAGTGGCTTATTATCGACGTCCATTACCACGCAAGGTCGAGTTGCTAACTGTAATTATGCTCGCCTGATAATCGTGTCGTTGTTCTAGCATGTGAAAATATATACATATTTTTTTGAGGGCCCCAAACTACCCAAAGGTCGAAATTTAGATGTGACTCGCTACAGTGCTCCACTGCTGGCCCATAGTACGCAGACTCGCAGGTCACAGTATAGAGCCCAGTGGCGGACGTAGATGTGGGGGGGGGGGGGGGGGAGCGGTATGGGCGATCGTTCCTACCCCCCCCCCACCCCCGAGGGATAGAAACTTAGCAGGATGAGCATGAGCTATAAAGGCAAGGGGGACAAAGCTGACAGACAACTACCGTCCTATAACCGTGAAACCAGTGGTCTACAGGCTGGCGATGCAGATTATAAAGGAAAGGACTGCAGGAATGGATAGGGGATGAGGGGGTGCTAGGGGAACTCCAGAATGGGCTTCGAGAAACACAGGAGGTTCGAAGACAACCCGTTTTCACTGACGCAGTGCATCGAAATAGCAGAAACGAACACAGGCCCCTGTGGCTAGCATTTTTGGATATCAAGAGAGTGTACGATAGCGTGGTTCAAGCGGACTTGAGAGGAATACTGGACAGACTAAGTGTGGAAGATGGAGTCACTATTCTTTTATAGGATATCTAAACAAGGTAGTTATAAAATGAAAAAAAAAAACAGGGTATCTAAGCCCACAGAGATATAACGGGGGGCTTAAGCAGGGGTGTCCTTTGTCACCCTTGTTATTCATGATGTACCTACAATGATTAGAGGCGAAATTAGAGTGAAGTGACTTGGCTTCGACCTCTCTCGTCAAACAAGGAAAACTCATTGAACGGGCACTACCAGCATTGATGTACGCAGATGATACAGTGCTAATGGCCGACAAAAAGGAAGATTTGCAGATTGATGGACATCTGCGGGAATGAGGGAGATAGGTTAGATTTGATATTCAGTAAAGAAAAATAAGCAGTCATGATTTTTAATGATAATGAAATTAGTGAGCTTAGGATACAGGTCACGCTAGAGATAACAGATAAATACAAATATCTGGGTGTATGGATAAGCGATGGGACCGAGTACCTAAGGGAACATGAAATATACGTAACGTCTAAAGTTAACAGGAATGCAGCAGTGACGAAAAATAGGGCACTGTGGAATTACAATAGGTATGATGTTGCGAGAGGAATATGGAAAGGGGTCATGGTTTCTGGTCCGACTTTCGGCAATGCAGTCTTGTGCATGAGATCAGAGGTTCAAGCAAGATTAGAAATCAACCAACGTGAAATAGGTAGACTTGCTTTAGGGGCCCCCGAGAATACACCAAATTAGGGAGTACACGGTGATATGGGACAGACATCATTTCAGGGCAGGGAAGCTAGCAGCAAGATAAAATTTGAGAAGCGATTGAGAGAAATGGTGGAGGAACGTTGGGCTAGGAAGGTATTCAGCTACTTGTACATGAAGAATGTCGATACAAAATGGAGAAAGCAAACCAGGAAATTGACTGGTTAATACTTGGAAAACAGCAGGGGGCCAGACTAAAAAGAGCTATCGGTTAAGAAGAAAGTGAAGGAAACGGAAACTGACATGTGCAGAATTGGCATGATTTAGAAGTCCGCACTAGAGATCTATCGAACTTTTAAGCAGAAAATTACCAAAAGAAAGGATCTATGATGATACTCAGAATAGTTCTCTACTGTTTGAGGCCAGGACGGGAGTACTGCGAACCAAGACATATCGGGCAAAATACGAAGGGGTAGACACAGTATGCAGTGCGTGTGGAGAGGAAGAAGAAACTGCCGAACACTTGATAATGTTCTGTAAAGGGCTTCAACCTATAGTTCAGGATGATGGCGCAGAGTTTCTCAAAGCACTGGGGTTTAGGGACAGGGAGGGCAAAATAGACTTTAAGCGGGTAGAATTAACTAGAAGGAGGTTATCTGATTGGTGGCTAAAGTCAAGGCACGAGTGAAAATTAAACCCTTCACTGCAAAGTACGAATCCTCAACCTCACTATTTAAAGAAAAAAAAAGATAAATCTAGTTGCTGGTTCACCAAGTATTACGGCTAGGTGGCATTAGCCGCCGCCCGATCTAAAGGGTACAGCCACATCAATCCAGCCCCCCCCCCCCTCCCCCAAAGCCTCTCAGCACCCTTCCTCTCTCTCAAATGCTTGCCATCCACCTGCTATTACCAGTTAGGACAAATTAGTGGGACTACAGTGAGCACACATTAACAACAATCATGCCATTACAGGGTTTTTGTGCAAGTAAAAAAAATTAATGACCACGCCCACCTTTCAGGTGTTAATTCTTCTTAACCTTCTTACAATAGTGGCACTGGCGGAAAGAGATTTAGGCTAAACACTTAATGCTTGTCACACAACTCTGAGCGAACAGACTAGAATAGTACCCTGGCTGAGAGTTCGAACCCAGATTGTATGAAACTAAAACCCCTTTGTGGCATTGAAGTGAGTAAGGCACACTGAAGATATGGGTCCCTTTCCCTGTCAGGGGGAACTCTTGTCAATTGCAATTTCGCTATCGATTTCAGAAGTTACTGACCCAGTGTTCAACAGGGCTTCGGAATGCGTCTTGAAGATAATGTACCCAACTGTAAGTGTATTTTTGAGTTTCTCTCGTGAACGTGAGTTTCTCTCCTACTCCATGCGTATACTACATACAATCGCTTCCATATGTATCTTCTTCCAATGCCTACACTTTTTTCACAGATGCTAGAGGCTTTCGTGAAGAGCCAACCCTCTGCAATCACTGCCTCCGGAATGCCAGATCTTCAGCGTGTCAAGCAAGCATGGGACGAAGACTGCACCCCTCACGCCAACAGCATTGTACGAGCTTGACAGCATCGTTCTGGCAGTTGTGCCGCTTTTTGATGGAGATACGATATAGGAAACTATAAGCTGACATGACCTTCCTTCCAAAGCACTTTTCACTAGGCAGTGTCAAAATCCTATTCTCATAGCAATTGTAGCAACACTCCAGGCCAAAGTTTGCCATCACTGTCACCATTACATTCCTAGAAAGCTTGTGATTAGCAGAGTTACGGCCGTTGTCGAGAGGGCATGGCCCCCTCATCTCCTAATCTTCACGAGTACAAATCTGCTACAAGGGAGCAGGAGAGTTTTGCCGGGGTTAAGTGACCGCATCTTCAGTAGCCCATAAGGGAATGACTCTGCACCACACTGAACATGGGCGACACTTGGTGATTACTGCAGATTTCAATCTAGGACTGCACAAAGACATCCATCATTAGCTTTGGACGTATGAATACTTGATCTAGTATCGATGCTAGGCAGAAAACTTGACATCTACCGTGACAACCCCTCATTCAGCTTCCACTTGACAAAACAGTCATGATGTGCAACATGTCACACCATGGCACATTTTATGCAAAAACCAGAATCCACTGCCAACTACAGCTCAACAGTTCCAGCCTAAGCTCAAAAGCATTATCAAATTCAACCTTCATGATTTTATTTACTGTAAGTATTGTAACTCTGCTAGTTAAAGGCACTGTTTACACCATTATAACCTTTACATTGCCAAAAAAAATCTTTCAGGCAAAACTACTGGTGCCAAGCCAATCTGTAAGTATCCTACAAGCTAATGACATCTACCTGTGAATATACCTGATGTAGCCACTATAAGTAGACTGCAGTTGGGCAATGCTCTACAAGGCAAATGGCATCTCTTCTTACCACCTTCCATTTCTGAAGAATGATGACAAAGCCAGGCTAATGTTTATGGTCGAGACATGCCTCAACAGCAGCATTTTCACTCTTCAGTTCGAGGCAAGTTATATTCATTGCACAACAGATGAAGAAAATGTTCGGTAAAATGAATTTCATTACAGGCATTGAGAGCAACCAAGTGACAACGGGCTCATGTCCTACAAATGAGTCATGGGCAGAGATTCATCGACTCTCGTGAATAAAGACAATTTGTGGCGAATTATGTGGCATATAAGAATGAAGCAGTACCACTTCAACGAACAAAAGAGCTTTATTTACTGTGCACACAACTGTTATACTATACACAAATTATGTAAGGTGCTAAGCAAATGCATTTTCAAAAAGACTGACCAACCAACCAGCATGGAATGGTGCACATCATGAGACAGTCAATGGAAAATATGTATTGGCATGAAAGATGGTATAACTAAAACAGTTTTTTTCATGAGAGCATGCAATGATGTCAATGGACAGGATGCAAGAATTTGATACAGATCAACAAACACAATAGCAACAAATGCGGCCAATAAAGGGTCAAACGAACTCCACAGGCCACTTCTAGTATGGTCGCGCTCTTCTGTCACCTCTGTCTCCGCTGAAAAAAAAAAAAAAAATGTTCACGTAAGCATGCTGAAAGCGTGCAACTTGCCACCCCTGCTCATGAAACACACATCCATTGAGCTGCTGGTGGCAACAAACCTTATTAACTGTCAACTACTTGCTGTTCTGCAAGCCCCTCCAGAGTACTAACAAATATATTGCAGTCCTGATGTAAAATGAAGTCTGGGGTGCTAAATAAAGATATCTTGAGTCAACTGCTATTTCTATTGTTTATAGCCTCCTTCAAACATTTTTAAACACCGAGTGAACCATGGTCCACAATCCTAGACAATTTTGCATAATGTATGCATATGCAGTGCTGCAACTGAATGAATGGAATGTAGTAATCACATTGCAATGCAAAGGCTAACAGATGTCATTGAAACAGCTTGCACAAGCCAGTGTCAAATGCCTAAAATACCGTATTTACTCGCGTAATCCTCGCACTCACATAATTCTCGCACCCCCCACATCGCCCCCCCCCCCAAAAGTATGATTTTTTTTCCTCGAGTAATTATCGCACCCCCGAAAACAGCCGCAATAATGTCGTCTGCTCGTTCCAGCCATTGATGATGATAGCGCACACCATCTGGCGCAATCTCTTAAGCATCAAACGAATTGCACGGCCGAAGTGGCCAGTGCGCGTTGCGGCATGTTTTGTGTGTTGTGTCTGTAATCTTGGCACGTTGTGGGGCGATACTGAAGCCACATGGCTGCTTCAAATTGCAAGTGATAGATCATGCGCTAAACAACGACAACAGGGCCGCCGGGAGGCCCTTCGGAGCCTACGAGTTTTGTGTTCGCTACTGGTGATGGCAGCTGAAAGCCATCAGCCCAATACTGACGTCCTACGCTTACTTTTTGAGGGCTCCTGTTGGGCGCTGACCGTTACCTCTACGCCCGCAACGCCCACAAGCTTCGCGTATGGTATTCTAATTCTCGACTATTTGCTTCCACTTTTTGTGTCTCAAATAAATCTTGCCTTGAATTGAACCTCTGCTTTTATTGTTGAGGTAAGTTCTAATTAGTACTTCTTAAAGCTTCTTGTAAGGTGCTTTTGTGAGAATTCCGATTGGCAGCCACTTCGTTTTCTTTTTCGCTCTGTGTTTTCGTGGAAAGTTTTCCCCGCGTAATTCTCGCACCCCCCAACTTTGCATCCGTTTTCTGGCAAAAAAAAAAGTGCGAGGATTATACGAGTAAATATGGTAATAGTGGCTACAGCAGCTGTAAATGCAACACATTGCCACGTTCAATTCCTCAAGTTTCGTCATCGCCCTGTTACACTATATTCAGCGCAAACCGCACCTACGGTGTTAGAGAAGCTTCGAGGTGTAGTAGATTGTTTTGTTAAGATTACGCCCACTTCGTCAACATTAGAGATTATTCTAGAACCTATGTCGCTGCTAGCAACAACGCTAGAATGTTCGATGACAAGAGTATGAATGCCAGCACGCTTCACTGCTTGTCAGTTGATCGACGGCTAGTGTCTTCCTATAATCCGACTTGTTTTGTTTACGTGGCCACAAGTTCGGCCCCAAATAAACAGTTTAATACACGACCTGCAGAATGGTCCCTTTGGCCACGTCATGATCCCTGTGACAATATACACAACACTCACCCAGGTCCACCTCGCATGGGTCCGCCACGTCCGGGGCCTCCACGACCTGGCCCGAAGCCGCCACCACGGCCTCCCATTGGTGGGCCACCTCCGCCCATGGGCGGTCCACCCCCTCGTCCACCCATGGGTGGTCCGCCTCCACGGCCACCTCGGTCACCACCCCTACCCCCACGGGGTCCACCTCTCATGCCACCTCGCATGCCTGGCGGCCCATTGTCGGGACCTCCTGGCCCACCAGGACCATCACGTGGTGCTGAACACCTGTTGCACTGAACACGCCAGGAAAAGTTGTTGTTGCCACATGCCCTGTGAAGAGATGGAGACAAACCTGATCAATGCAGGAAACAACTATCACTTAAAACTTCCGAAAAAAAAAAAAAAAGTTAACCTCCACCCACAGAACTGTGACCTGCTTGCCGTTCGCATGTGAAAGGCTGCTGTGCTAGTTTCTGCTGGAACCACAAGCACTTTTCTTAGCTAATGTAAATACTACTCATAGGAGCCAAAGCCACAATATTGGTATCGGAAGATTTATCAGTATTACGTAAAACATTACTTTCAGCTGCAGTAGTTATATTAGAATCCCTGATGAAGTTTACCAGGACATATCTATGCAAATGCTCTATGGGTGGAGCTGGCATACTTTTTTCAGCTGTAGCTGAACACTCGGGAAAAAAAAACAACAAACAAACAAAAAAAAACCCCACCGTATCAGCATGTTACACCACAAATGTCGTCGAAATGTCGTCTTGCGTCTGGAGAGAGTGAACAAAACTTTTATTTGATGTTCTGCTCAAGAAAATCAGTGAATGGTACTCTGGAGGCGCTGCGTTAGAGTGCCTCGAGCGTGCTGCAGAGGCGAACGAGTGCATCAAGTCATGTCACACGCGGGACATGAGCGCTATCTGGCAGTTATCTTGGAAAACTAAGCGCGCAGGGCGTGCGCGCCAGTCTCGGAGGTGATAAGGTGAAGAACGTAAGGCAACTGGTAGGTGCCACCACCGTGTCGTCTTAGGAAAGCGTTGGAAACACTTGCCGTTTCGTGCAAGCGTTGCATGGCCAGCGCAACGTTATAAAGGCTACGATCCTCAAGATTACTTGTGTGTGTCTTTTCTAGTAAGAAATACACATAAATAATATTGACGTGTTGTTATGGTGCCTCAGATATGCGCAATAATTGCTTTTTAATTGACAATCGCACATGAACGCTGAACCTTGAGCAATATTGGTGGGCGCTGCGGATGGGGTCGGCCGTTTGGAGTATCGTCACTTTTGTGCCGTTTAGGGTACCGTTAAGGGTGGACAGACAAATGCACAGGCAGACAGACCAAAATGTTTGCATTGAAGGTCCACAAGAAAGACTATCGTCTTTAGAAAAAAAAAAAGGGGGGGGGGGAAAGAGAGAGAGGAATTACAGTAGACTCGCATTAAATGGAACGTTTCAAGACCGGGAAAATGTGTTCCATTTAACAGGAGTTCTGTTTACCAAGAGTCTACTGCACTCGAACCTCGGCAGACTTCCTAAAGCATTGGATATGCCGTACTTGTTAAAAGAGCACACAATCAAAGTTCCTGGGATTGGACGACGACTTCACGGCCCTATAATGACATCGCCTGTGCAGCTGTCAAATAGCAAGGAGACGCTGCACCCGGAGGCACTTAATCCTGGAGTCTCACATAACACCCCTAGCTTGGCACCATTGAGCTATGCCACACACTTGCCACAAAGGCCAAAATTGTGGCCTCACATGTCCTTTAGCCAGGTGTTGGCACGGCTACTTACGGCTACAATACTGTCTGATGGCTCTAGTTGTGGACAATTTTTTTTTCCCGATGAAAAATGGCGCGTTTTTAAAAATCCTCGAATCTAAGCCGACCTGCAGTTTGATACACTATAATTTGGGGAAAAAAAAAAAAAAGCTATCCTAGATTTGAACACGTACGGCACAGCAGCAGACAAGGCTGTTTTACCAAAACACTTACAGGGGTAGATTAGCATTTGGTCCTAGTACATTTTCAGCAGCAGCAAGCCCCAGTACTTACGGGTTCGGGCACTTCCAGTCTCCGTCGCGGCCACCCATGCCATTATCGGGACCACCCCCACGACCTCCTCCAGGGCCGCCGCCTCCTCGGGGACCTCCCCTTCCACCACGGGGCCCTCCACGGCCACCCATGCCACCACCAAAGCCACCAAATGGAGTCTTGCGCTGGGCTAGCTCCACATTGATCTTGCCACCCATGAACTCTTTGCCTGTAGCAGGGCAACACAGAAGTTACCAAAGTCAGATTCAGGAATTCCTACAGGAGTAACATTCCTCCTCAGCCTGGAATTTTTACTACCATATAACAGTTTTAACAATGAGAGACACCTACGAACAGCTGCAAGAACATCAACAGTACAATTGAGATGTATGGGATAATTTATCAATATCCTCCTCAGACCGCCGTAAATTTGTGGTCACAATAATGAAATCGAAACACTTTTGGTATGCACACAATACCTTACGACACGAGAAGAAAAAAATTGCACCTGTGTGGCCAACTGCTTTTGCACACCAGTGTGCGCAATCATGATGCACACACACTTGGTCTTAATGCACAGAAAATTAACACTCTCTGATTAGAAAAAGTTACATTTTGTGAAAAGCATTCTTGTTCGTTGTCAAGCTGTTTGTATCAATTTCGCGCAGACTTGAAGCACAAGAAGATATGTTGCACCAGAACTTTGTTCGCTTAGAAAATGCAGTTTTGGCTTCGCGAGGAAAATAACCGATTGACAAGCCCTGACAAGCGACTTGCTTGTGCGGTTCTTGGCTCGAGAGGCACCTCTTACGCTTTCACCAGCTTTCAGAGTGGCTCAATTTGAAATTTGGCACCACATCTCTTTTCGACACAAGGTGACGGAAAAAAATACCCTTGTCTGACAATTAGAGGTTCCGAGGGGTCACTGCTAATTATTGTCTTGAGAAAATTTTCTGCCTTTTCATCAAATATTCTATTCTAAGACTAAACAAAAGGCAAAACCTAATTCCAAAAAAAGCTTATGCCAACCGCACGAGACTAGTCAGCGTGCGCACACCAAAGCCCATACGGTGAGAGAGTGTGCATTATAATGAATTGAAGAAAACAGCTTGTGATAACAAAATTACTCGCTTCTAAGGTTACATGACAAGTGGACATTATTCCCTAAAGCCTTCAAAGAATAAAGAATAAAGCAATACAAAAATATGAGCGCATGATTATTCAGTTATTAGGCACATTGTTGGGACACCACCAGTAGAGCATCGAAGTTGAAAATACTGCCATGTTGCAAGGCGGGAAAACATGGCTTCTACAGTTGTGTGATTCCTATAATGCTGACCAGATGATACCGCATGAGCGAGAATGCGATTGCACCAAGAATGTTGGTTCTACAGTCGAACTTCGCTACAACGAAACTGACTGGACGCGGACAAAATTCCGTTGAAGCGAAATTGAAAAATATATAGCTGATCTGAGCTAGCAAAACTGATGAACGTTTATTCTCAATATTCGAAAAATGTCTGCTGCTTCCTATTCTTTCTCAGCAGCGTCACAACGTCATTCTCACCCATGTATAGCGAGGCCATGGTGAAAAGCACGCTGAAACACGCCTAGAACTGCCTTCGTGAACGAACGAAAGTTGCATTACCACGTTAACACCAGCAGCTGTCCGCTCTCAAAAGTATCAGACAAAGCCGGGATGAAGGCAGGGTACCATGGAGCGGCGACTTTTGCATCATTCTATGCCGTTTTTATCCATCACTCGCGGCTAGCTGATTTTGTTGATAATGCGGACCAACAGCCGCTCTAATTAGTTACCACACTGGCCATTCATTCCACGGTTGCACCCAGCAGCTGCGTGAAGAAAACCACGAGCTGAGCGACTGAGCTTCAGCTTTGGATCAAAATAAGCCAATGGCAAAAGCAGGGCAGTCTCATTGCCGAGACTGCCATCGCTATCGAGCAATGGCGGCACCCATGCTTGTTGAACAGCGGTGGTTTCTGGTGGTGCCAACGCGTATTTTAGACTTTGTTGACGCATTTTCAGGCTCTGAAAATGCATTGAAATGTTAGATTGGGTTTACTGCATAGCAATAAGTATCTGAGCCTAGAATTGCATCGTAAAATTTTGTTGAAGCGGGAAGATTGAAGAAAAAAGTGTTCGTTGTGGAGACAATATTTATGCATTGACTCCTAGTGAACTGCTGACTGGGAATCAGTGAATTTTGCGTTGTAGCGGAGTTTGACTGTAATGGTGGTGCGAATTTCCGAAATCTGAAATAGATATTAATGCACGTGCGATCTGAAGAAGATTGATATGTGGGGTTTACAGTCCCAAAACCACCATATGATTATGAGAGATGCGGTAGTGGAGGGCTCCGAAAATTTGGTCAGAAGATGTGACTAACCTCGCACGGTTATTTCCAATGTTCTAGACATGAGAAATTATTCACTGACAAAACCTCTCCCCCAGGCTTTCCTTCAGCCACCCTGCATGTCTTGAAAGTGACCTTTTAGAAGTTGCTGTTACATTTTAGAGCAGTGTATGTGGCCATCACCAGGCTAGCTTTTGGCATACGTTTTTTGTAGAGTGCCTCCCAGTGCCCGTTCTTTGGCAACCTGTACTCTTACATGAGCAACAAAAACAAAGCAAAGACATCTCAAGATAGCAAGAAACTTTCCAGTGCACTCACCATGAAACCAAGTGATGGCAGAGTTGGCAGTCGGAGGATCATCATAAGTAATGGTCGCCTCTCCCTTGCCTTTACCAGTAATCTTGTCCTTGTAGATCCAAATCTTGTTCTTCCCAGTCTTCTTATCAATCTAAGAAATGAAAATTTCGATTGAAGTGAGCACCAAAACCATTAACATCAAAAGGAGTATCATCAAGTGCCACACCGATTTGTGCTTCAAGTACCTAATTTAGAACAGGGGTTCAGGCAGTAGGAATAACGCTGTTTTGTGGTAGCTTTGGAGTATCAAAGGGTGTGTTTGGGAGCAGCGCAAGTTAGTTTGGAGCATATTTTTGGGTTCAGATATCATTGTTAAGTCAAATTCTCTCGGGGAAGCACGAGGTTCAAGTAGTTTTTAGTAAATGTCTAATGCCTGTAGTGTCCAAACTTGAACGAACATGAATTATCAGGTTTAATTATTGTTAGTTTGTAGCATATAAAACAGTTGAACGACAATCGGTTACAACGAGAAGCTGCTCAACTGTCAAACTTGATGTTTTATAGTGAAATAACCCACTCGGAGCAATGCCCACATGTTGCATTGTCCTTGCAACAATGAATCCTGGCTGTTGGGTGTCTGTGCTGAAAGGTAATGAAAGGCAAAATTCTGGCAAGAAAAAGAAAAGAGGTAGCAGCATGGCAAATCGGTGCAGCCCTTCCACTTTTGGTACCAGTGTACTCGTGTTTCTGGCTTCAACATAAAATTTGCCTCATACCCAATGTATCATTAACCACTCAAGTCACTGTCGCTACTTAATCACGAACACTACTTCATGCACAAAGTGTTGATGTACACTCTTGGGCTCCTTTGCATGCCACATGGACAAACAAAATGGGCCAGCCACATTTTTTACTACCAGTTTTTTTTTTGCTTTTAGAATGCACATCACAAACCAATGTATCATTAACCACTCAAGTCACTGTCGCTACTTAATCACGAACACTACATTCATGCACAAGGTGTTGATGTACACTCTTGGGCTCCTTTGCATGCCACATGGACGAACAAAATGGGCCAGCCACATTTCTTACTACCAGTTTTTGTTTTTGCTTTTAGAACGCACATCACAAACTGTGTGACCTCATTAAGCTTGTTCGAATGTTAAAAATTACACTTAGCCAAACAAAAGATAGACTAATGGGGAGAACAGAGAAAAATGAAGTCCCACCTTGATCAAACCAATGGCACCAAAATGCTCAGCCAGCTGAATCTCTCCAACATCCTCTGGCAAGTTGGAGACAAATATGGTGTCTGCCATCTCCTCGGAAGGTCCTACAAAACCAGGGCACGCTGACTTAGCCATATTGGCCTTCACAGCACCAAAACGATAAGCTCCAAGGCCATTTGTGCAACCTTTCAAACTACAGGAGCCTGAGCTAGACTGCACTAGAGCTAACGGAACCTTAGTTGGAATAAAGTTTGCTTGAGTGTGTTTCTGATGCAACGCTATTCAGATGGTTTGTCTTGGGCAAAATGTGTTCCCACACATAGCAAACGATCTTGATTGCCGTTAGTACGGTGGATTGAAAGAAAGATGCTTGAAAGTGATGTCTGAGAAAGCCTTTGCAGGTCACGCATAGCATCATGACTCAAGACTGCAAGAAACCAAACTTGACCTCGCAAGTAATCTTTTATATCCTGCCATTCTAAACCCTTTTGAAGGCTTATAATACACATTTTTTTGCCCCAGAGCGTGAAAAAGTGGCACCAAACTTTTTGACACACATAATGGTGTGGAGGAGTTGAATCGAATGGAAACCAAAGGGAACCAATAATCTTGCATGACATCTAACAGTGTCTCAAGAATACAGAAGACCAGCCCAGGAGTTTTCAAACTTCGTGGGGAGCCCCAGCAGAATTTCAATAGTGCCAGGGAACACAAAGCACTCCTACTCATGTGCTTGATCTCAAAGGTCCATTGCTGTCTATGCACAATTCTACTATGTACACTATTCAAAATAAAGATCACCCCTTCCCCCAAATGCTTTTTACACTGCCTTGTAAAGCACAGGTCGATTGCACACCTATTGCATTTTCGTGCAAGCAAAGTAACCTACTTTTTTGTCTTTGCTGAAGCTTTGTCCTTTGAGACAATGCCTTAGTCTAAACACTCATGCAGTCCGAAGCCAGCACATTGAAGTGCCTCCTGTGCACTCGTTCTACATTTTTGTTATGAAAGATGTGCTAGGGAAGATAAGCCTGCCTAGCAACAGCGACGCATGACACATGAACGTGCACTGCGGGTCTGTAAGCAACGTCCCACTTAGGTAGCAAACATCAGTACCTTCTTGCAACACATGGCCATGCTGACAAAACTTGCAAAATTCATGACCCATTTTCAGATATGTCACTGAGCATGAATGATAAGTGTGCACAAATGCGATGTGCGAACCATGACAGACTGTGCTGCGGTAGTGTAGTAAGTTTCTTGCTACTTATGACTCCAGATGTGCGGGTGCAGCCTACATAGGCATCATTGCATCCAAAATTCCTGGCGAATTGGCTTCTTTAAATATATTAACATAGTAATACAAGACTGAGTCACAGTTGGTTTGTCTTTTTATGGAACTCTAAAAACCATCATTCTGCAAGCCTCCCAAGTTCAGCGAAATCCACTTTGACAACCCCTGGGCTAGCTATTCAAACACAACTGTGTTCAGCTTGCATTAGTGCTGATGAACTCCGAAAGTTCTTGTGCATTACTTGCACACAAAACATAACAGTGCTAAGCAAGGGCAATGTGATCAAGATTGGTTGAACACTGAGAAAATCCTACTTGCCCTACATTAATGTTGCACTTTATAAAAGGCAAGTATTGTTTTGACCCAATTGAAGAACTTCCAACAGCCTAGAAAGTGGGCATAGCCCTTCTTTCCCTAAGATGTATAATTGACCAAGAAGTTTAGCCTTTCCACACACTAACAGACATGAACTTGTCAACATCAAATACAATAGTGCTACGGAGACATTGACCAAGGCATGCAACCCAATGGGCACACGCCCACCTCGCTTGGCTCAATACTGTGGCCAACTTTAAAGTGACGTCGTGGTGCTCCAAGCTAAGATACAAGGTTTTGCAGTCTGTAAGCATGTCTGTTCAAGTGCAATAGGCGTAACCACCCTCGGGCAATGACCACGCATATGACACCATTATGTGTGAAGCAGAGCAACGTTCCAATAATGAACTAGAATGTAAGCATTACAACTATTTCCTAGTTTTATTTTCTTTGAAGGTTGTTTGTTAGTATTCTTAGGGCCGATGTGTTAGTATTCTTAGGACCATTTAAGCATCATTCCTTCAAAAACTGCTATCCCTAAGGCAGATGAGGGGATAGTTCCCCATTCACAGCATTCGTTTGCTTGAATTCAGATGAATGACCGTTTTTATCATGAACTACTATAAATGAGATCTATTTGAGCATGGCGGGCCCCACTTAAAAGATTAAATTATTTATCAACCAGAAAACGGGTAGCACCATCAACAAGTGCAGATGTACAAGCTCACTTCATTGAAAGTCTTAGACTGTTTCTGTAAACTGGGGTGAGTACAAGTTAGTCCTTTCTGTATACCGGAGTCCAGTACAAGTTAGTCCTGACTGGCAACAACAAATAAAGAGAAAGTTTTTTTTATATGCTGCACATTCCTATTATATTACACTAGGAGTTAGTATGTACAAAGTACTGCATTTGCACGAACATGTAACAAAAACTTAATTTTCGTGAGAACAACTTTCATCTAAGCTCCAAATGTAAACAAATGAAGCTCTGACAATTGGCAACAGGTCTGTAGAGAAGCCAACTTCTTGATGCAAGTGGCAGGGCTAAAGGGCTGATCAACTACGACAACTGCGCCCACATCACTACCATGTAGTTAATGATGTGTGAGCACAGCACAAGCTTTCATACAGGTAGATACCACAATGTTAGTTTTGCAAGCCACCAATATTAAGCCTTTATCACCTTGTCACTGAATGTTCCATGCTATATTCGTGCAAACACAGTACACATCGAAATCAAAGGCTACAAGGTAAACCTTGAAGCTGAAATACAGGCAGTACATGCATACTTATACATCCTCATATATTAATCTATTACTATAATGAACTTTGTGACACAAAAGACAACACGCATAGGAGAGGAGCTGCACTTACATGTATGCACAATTCAATATGAAAGCCCTTCTCAGATTAAAATCTGTGCGAGCAAGGATTATGTCAATTTGTGTAGCTACAGAAGTATTAGCATTATGCTACATTCGAAACTGCAACTCCTCACCCTATTGTACAAAGAACCCATGCAAGTAACCTTGGCACACTATAGTGCTGTGAAAACGTGTATGGATGACCATACAATAAAAGGGGGGCAAACAAATTGTGTTGCAAGGCACTTCAAGACTGGTTTTTTGATCGCTCTAAGTTGAATTCTTACACACTCCCCCCACTGATAAGCTGCACTGCCTCATTGCAAAGGCACATATTCTGATTGATATCCACACACAGTATGCAGAAACCAAACCTCTGAACAAAAGGTTCGTTGTACACTAACCAACAGATTTGTGCAAGCATATTTCATTTGGCTTGCGAATGTTTTCGCCTTACACTAATATGCTTTCCAAACCATTGATAACCTTTATACCAGCAGAGACACCCTTAAGAGTTCATCAAAAAATGCAACTAAGCAGGCTGCCACGTTTGGATAAGCTGCAATGCGTAATAATGATTAAACAAACACACAGCACATAACTCTCGCTAGTGTATCCGCAGCTTCGAGGTACATCACTTTCGATGACTGCAGTACTCCAGACCACCTGCTGCCCGACACCCATAGTAGCAGGAAAAACCTTGCAGTTCCAAGCCCAACTCGCACGACAAAAAAGGTAATATGAAAAACAATGCTACCAACATAAACATAGTTCAGTAATGCTACAGTTAGTCGATTCATGCCATCTTCCCTCGCAAAGTGGCATTTTTCTATCGCGCTCTAATGTGTGCACCAGGTGTTACGATGCCTAATAGATCTTCTGCGCAAGCATCTAGCATAATTTGTTTATAAAAAAGGCACCCTATACAGCTTCATATCAAGGAAGCAATTCTGTTTTACAGCTATACTGAAGGCAAGACTGAGAACAGTTTTGTTTGCATTTTTTTCTGGCTGCAGTTTAACACACAGTAGTATCGTATAAATGCGTGTAAGGGCCGCACCCCGTTTTTATAAAGTACATAGCCGAAAAAAAAAAAAAAATCCGCTTAAGGGCCACACCCACACTTTCGTTCACCCACAAATATTCAAAATGCGCGCGCATGAGACCTTTTAAACATTGTCAATAGATGGCTCGAAAAAACCCAACCATCATCATTATATTGTACAGCGGCAGTAGTACATCACTAGTATATTTTGTTGAAATTTCTTCGTGCCAAGGTGCTCATCAAGTTTGCTAAATATTGCAACCCGGTGTTTATACGGCGGTTACCTAAAGGTTAAACCGAGATTCTACACTTCGCGTCTCACTTCTATACAAACGCACTATCCATATCGACTTAGCATCACCAATCTCACGCTTCCATGTATTATGGAGTTATCAGTGTTACCTGGTCGAGCCGTCTAGTTGTGCACGCGGTATTGTCACTCGTGTTTGTGTATGTACTGCCGAGCATTAACGTTGTGGCACATTGGCAAACACTTGAATAGCTACACGACTGGCTAGAACTTAAGGGGGGACACAGGTTGTGGAGACCGAAAAATCGCAAAAAATCATTTTTCATTTATTGCATTTTTGAAATCTACACCTACTAGTGCACCTATAGCGTGAATTTCATGCCTATATTATTTTAGCCGCTAAGACCTTTTATACGGCGCTTTCATGCTAAATCTGAGCCGAAATCAACGTTGAAATCGCACACTTTCCGTGACGCGCCCCTGCCCTTTCATGTGTGCCAGCGCGGCCCGCTTGGTCTCATTTGAGAGAGCAGTCTTTCAAGCCTTCAAATTCCCGCCAGAATGGCTCCAATTAAGCCACTGGCAGCTAGTAAAATGAGCGGCAAAAAGAAGTATCAGAGCGCCTTCCTATTCGCTACTTCGCACATGTGACTTGAGCTTGCCTCCCTACTGGTGGAGGCTCCTGGCTTCGTCTGCTCCGAGTATTGAGGTGCGCGTCCATGCGCGCCATTTTGCCTCAGTGTCAGCAGAGAAGTTTCATGATGTCAAAGCCTGAGCGCAAATTCTGCACGCGGCACAAGTTTGGTGCGAAACAGTTGCCAAGGACACTAGTCGCGAATTTCAAGAAGCGCTCGGTGATACAGCAAAACCTTCCAGATGCTACACTCACGCGGCCCATGGCGAAGTCGCCGACGCTACCACAGAAGGCCTAGCTACCGCATCAGTTGTCACGGAGCTTGTGCAAAGTCCGTCAGCCTTCGAGCAGCGGTCGCATGCGTCTAGATACTATCTATCGGCAGCAATCCGACTTGGAAAAGGAGCGAGCTAAAGCCGAAGATAAGTTATCGGAGTTGTCCGCTGCAGACGAAGCAGCTCGATGATTGATTGATATGTGGGGTTTAACGTCCCAAAACCAGTATATGATTATGAGAGACACCGTAGTGGAGGGCTCCGGAAATTTAGACCACCAAGGGTTCTTTAACGTGCACCCAAATCTGAGCAGACGGGCCTACAACATTTCCGCCTCCATCGGAAATGCAGCCGCCAGGCGAAGCAGCTCGACCGCCTGGTGGAACCACGTTCACAATTGTAGATTTGGACACAGTGAACAGTGCTTTGTTGGCACAGATCAAACCCCTGTGTAATTTGACTGCCCGGAAAATTGCACAGTGGAACAGAAGGGCAAAAAGAGCAGCGCCGTGCAGACTACCGGAGCGGAGCGTCAACGCTGCATCTTGATGCTTTGTGCCACCACAGACGGGCGGAAGCTACCCCCGTATGTTCTGTTAAAAAGAATTCCAAACAAGTGTTCCCCAAGGGAATCATTGTTCGAGCCCAAGAAAAGGGTTGGATGAACAATGAGCTGGTTCTTGACTGGATGAAGTGCGTCTGGTAAAACAGACCGGGAGCGCTGTCGGCCAAACGTGTCACCTTTAGTGCTAAACAGCTTCTGCGGTCACCTGACCGATAAGGTGAAGGAGCAGCTGTGCTGTGTCGGCACAGACATGGCAGTGATTCCGGGCGGCCTCACTGGAATGCTGCAGCCTTTGGACGTCAGCGTTAATCGACCTTTTAAGATTGAATTCCGAAGGCTCTACAACGAATGGATGGCAAGCGGCAGCCACGAGCAGACGCCGACCAAACAGCTGAAGAGGGCACTGCTTGCTACTGTTCTCAGTTGGGTACTGCCTGCGTGGAGCTTGGTGTCGACGGACGTCGTATCCTAAAGCTTTAATGTAATCGGCATATTCAACAGCTTGGATGGCGCCGAGGATGACTGTTTGTTGGAAGACGATGCTCCGCAACACGCCTTCTCAGACTGAGTCTGAAGACTCGTTGAGCGACAATGATATATGCTGCAATACACCTTATTCGTTCGGTAGCTGGTACGTTCTCTCTTTTTTGCCCCCCCCCCCCCCCCAAAATTGCACGTCGAGTGTATGGGCCACACCCGGAAAATTGGTCGTCTTTTCATGAAAAAAAAAAAAAAAAGGCGCAGCCCTTACACGCGTTTATACGGTATTTGCACTGAAGGCAAAAGTGAGGAATTGAGATTGTTTCACACAAGTAGCTGGTCCTACGGGAAAGCTTTACACATATACGATTCACCAACACCTCTCGGTGCCTTTGAGCAGCTTTTACAAACGGGCGAGGTGATGTACTTAAAAGGAAACTCATACCTTGACAGAACGTCAACCCAATGACCATATTACAACCAGACTAACATACTCCTCCAGACAACCATAGCATTACACAAAACAAGGTTGATACCAAACTAACAATTATCGTACACCTGAATGTTTACTTTATATTGCTTGTATTTCAAACGCAGAAGTGACTACATGAGGCAGATATCTAGCACATGAAAACCCTGTCCACACCGCTATTCTTGTTTAACATTATTTTAAGCCGCAGCAAATGTTTGCGGTATGTATACCACACTTATTCGTCGACTGATCATACTAAGCGCTTTCCGTTTCCGTGACAACACACTTTTCCAGAAGTCAGAAGTGTACAAAGCGGGCTATAAAGTAATCCATACAGCAATACAGATTTACGGACTAGTTCCATATATGCAATGCACCACAATGGGCTATAAATACCATTGCCCACATTTTCGCCTCAAGCGAGGCTGCGCTAATTTCCTTTGCGAAGAAAATTCGATAAACCTGAAGGAAAGACCTTTAATGTGCACCTCCCAGCAGCTTGTTCAGGAAAAATAGAAATAGTCTAAGGGCGCTTCACCTGCACAACCTCATGCAGGCACTAACCAGGCTATGACCACCAGTGGTACTTTGTAATACAGTAGCCTCTCAGTAAACGAAACCCGACGGGGCCGGAAAAATAAGTTCCATTTACCAGGAGTTCCGTTTACCGAGAAGTGAACATGGCTGCAGAATACAAGCCCGAAACCAAGCATTGCAGAGGCAATAGTTCCATTTAGGCAGTCATTCCGTTTAACAAATTTCCGTTTACTGAGAGTCTACTATACTTTGCAGAGCTGTATGTTGCCCAACTAGTAGCATAGAATTTAATGCCACTGAAGAAACCATCATATACTAGAACAAGTGAGTGTAACCTCATATTTAACTAGTTAAAGCACCCAGCACCACACAAACGCTTAGAATAAATTGAACCAGTCTTGACCATGCCTTGCAACACCGACCTTAAGTAAAAAAAAAAAAAGCGTGCAGAAGCAGCACCAAGGCTTTAGAAACAATAGTGCGACCTGCGAGTATTAAAAAAAAAAAAAATACATGTGGCTCTCCACCACAGAATACAATGAAAGAAAATTTTCAGTTTTGGGGAGCTTTAAGCCTCCTGTAGAGGTAAGCGCTAGGTAATATGCACGCATAGGTAAATATATAGAGATAAACTCAAAGCAACACCATGGGGTGAAGCTGTTACCTTTGTTGTAACTTCCCCTGCCACCGGGACCACCTTGATTACTAGAGTGTGAAGCAGACATCGATTTGTTAGGCCTCCCTCCTCGAGACTCTCACGGGCAAGGAGTTTGCACCCCCTGGCTTCTCCTGCTCTCATTATGCAATTAGCCCCCGCCTCGGACCATCCTGGCAAAGCCAGGAGGTCCGGTGAGGCGGGGTCCAGGGAAGAGAACAGTGACACACTCCCTGCAATGCCCAAGAGCAAAGCTAGCGCGCAGCGAGCCCCGCGTCGCATCCCCAGCCATCATTAGAAACCAACGAGCACCAAAACGTGACTACGCAGAGCGAACGCTATCAAGCGAATGGCGCTCATGTAACCCACAAGAGCAAGGCACCTACTACACTGCATGAATGCTGTGCTTTCGAACACCATGCGTGAGCTTAACCAGAAAGCCTAAAAAACTTCTTTTTGCACCTTTTGCATTATGTAAAACCACAGATTGTTAGCTTAACCAGCACATCTTAAAACCTCATTTTCACACTCTTTGTACTATGTAAACCACAGATTGCTTTTAACACCCTTTTTTAAATGCGAAAGCAGCAGGGCCAATTAGGCCTCTTCTATGCTGCGCACACACACACGTATACCAACAGCCAAAGTGAAGATCCTTTACATGCTCACTGCGCCTTTCATGCAGACAAACCAAGACAAACTTACAGCACTGGTGTTTTGAAGTGACAAATGTACGGTATGTCAAAGGTAACAGAGCTGCCTATGCTGCTCAGGTTGGTCAATCATGATTTTGTGTGACTGGATCCATATTAATGCCCCAAAGCAACGACACATTTTGCATGCATAATTACCTCGCACAACTGTATTGCGATCTACAATGCCTTGGATGGCCCCTGAAGAAACAGTAAATAAAAGGTATTACATTGTTCATCCCACAAATGTAGGCAAGAGGACTGTCAGTAGTAATTTATAAAGCAAACATATTGTGTATTTATACAAGTTACAAGCAGACTTCAACCCATATGGAAGACTGTTACACCAAAATAAAAATGTAGTGATATCACGTACTTGAAGCCACCTCTGCCTCCCCGATCGCCATACATGCCTGGCCCACCTAAGAAATGGAAGACGAACAAAAGCACAAGTTATAACTTTGAGACAGCAACATTACAGTTGCAGAGGTGTGCGAATAATGCATTTTACTGTTGAACTGCTATATATGCAGCTTACTACCATGCCCCGAAGTAACAGAAGGAAGACCTTGCCACATAACACTAAAGACACCACTACAACTACAAACTTTTCACATTAGACATTACACAATGATAATGAAGGTTGAATGCACAGGCAAAATAATAAGACAACAGAATAGAAGCCACAAGCGTGACACCAACATGAGGTTTACAGACAGCCACTACAACTACAAGTAATCCAATGAGACAATGCACAACCAGCTGGTGGGTGATAACTAAGTCTACACAGCAAGACTTCTTACCATACGCAGTTAACCTGTTAGATCACAGTTGTGCAGGCCCACAAAGCAAAGCAAGCATAGGCAGGGCAAGGTGCATGAAATTTGGCACTACTCCATTCTACATATGCAACAGGCTCAGGGTGCAAGGCAGGCAGCAGTTCTAACATCCTGTGAGCACACCCACCTTGGCCACCGCCAAATCCACCACCAGGACCCCCATAACCTCCAGGTGGAGGTCCGCCGTAGCCGCCGCCTCCTGCTGCGCCTCCCGCGGGCGGCCCAGGTGGACCTCCATGCGGTCCAGCCATGCCCCCTGGGGGCCCTCCTCCACCCCGTCCAAAGTCCCCTCCCCCATAACTACTTGGGGGCCCCGCGGGTGCACCCGGCTGAGGGGGCTGGGGTGGACCACCCGGACCCCCGTAAGCACCAGCTGGCTGTGGCGGCCCACCCACTTGTCCCGGGGGCCCCTGGGCCTGCCCATATGGGGCTGCACCGGCCGCAGCACCGTAGCCCGAGCCATATGGGGTCGCACCAGCGCTTCCATACTGGTGGGTACCCGGTTGTTGAGGCTGCTGTGGCTGCTGGGGTGTTGGCTGTGGAGCTCCATATCCAGCTGCCGCTCCATATGCACCTTGAGGCGCTGGCTGCTGTGCCCCATAGCCTGCCGCTGGAGCTGGTTGTGCTTGTGCCCCGTAGCCTGTGCTGGCGGCGGGAGGGTATGCGGCCGTGTTACTGGCAGCAGCAGGAGGAGGTGCCTGAGCTGGCTGAGCTCCATACCCTCCGTACGTTGCACTCTGGCCTGCACGTGGGACAGGCCAGACGTCGCTCACTGCCCGCAGTTTTTCTTCTAAGTAAACTGGTGGGACTCAATACATTGCTCTGTCTGAGGGCAGGGCATTTGTCCCTACCTTGTCAAATGTGTACAAAATAGGCTTCCATGTGAAACCAACCATAGCGCGGCTGGCAAAGCTTATTGTTGCACCTCAAGTACCGTTTACCACACTATACAAAATTTAATGAGCTGGATACACAGAAACAATGTGAGAATGGTGCAAAAGTGCGACACAGCTCTGGTATGGCCATAGTTTATTTCCCTGCCCCATCCCCAGAAACCAAATGATCTGGTTTTTTCTCATATCTAAACAATGGCCATTGATGTGCTCTGTTTCTTACAGCACACTTATGGAAGACATTTCTAACAAAGTGTAAACACAACTTACAAACTATTATGAAGACAAAGCCACACTATAGAAGAAAAATGTCTATGGGGATGGCAAAAATTCGCACGTCGGGGATGTATGCCACTGAAGAAACCAATAACTTTAGGTTGTGTCTGCACGTGACTAACATCTGAATGCACCTGATTCATTACCGACAGCATTTTCCTCTAGTGTGTTCTTGTCTTAAAAGGAAAATGCTGTATGAGGAGGGGTGGGGAACGGCCTGAAAGAAGCACACACAGACCATACCACTTTTCGCAATATTCGCACACCTCTATAAAACACAGTACATCAGCACCACACAAACACCACTATAGATGCAACAACTTTATGTTAGTGCGTCTCACCTGAGCCCATGAATCAACTCAGTGAAGGTGACAGATGACCCTAAAACACTATACCACACTTATTCGAATCTAGGCAGATTTTTTTTTTTTTCAAATTTATTGGCATTAAACTGCAGGGTCGGCTTAGATTCGAGGATTTTGAAAAGCGTGCCATTTTTTATTGAGAAAGGCGGTGCACTACTAGCGCCACCTAGATGGCATTATAGCTGTTGATAGACAAACCAACACCTGGCTTAACACATGCACACATCAGGGCGCCATTTTGATAATTGTGGGAAGTGTTGAGGCCAGAGTTTGTCATTTCGAGCCGCGCCTGAGTGGTCTGTGTGGGGCGTAGCTCAATGGCACCGAACAGGTGGTGTCATTATAGTGCCGCTTCTATGAGGAACATTTCCCTAGCTGCGGAGTCGTCGTACAACGTTCCAGTTCCAGCAAGGTGGTATTTTGGAGTGGAGCATCGCTGGAGGGGCTGCAGCGTGGGACAACTTGGGAACTCGTGCGCTTTTAAGAATGCCGACATATCCAATGTGCTTGATGGCGCTAACAATTGTGCACTGTTTGAAGACAGCAACAGAGAAGTCAACGACGAAGGAAGCAGCAACAAGAACTCAGAATGAGTGCCGCATCGTTATGATGGGCAGTGCGAGGAAAAAAAAAAGACAACAAAGAAACACTCAACAGGACTTGCAACTGTATGTTTCGCCTGTTATTTACATCATGAACCAACTGCCTCCTTTCTGCTTTCTCTTTGTGAACGTTGTCTCCGCTGTTGGCCTACATTCAAGGCAAGTTTTTTGGGCGAAGCTCCTAAAGGTGTGGGTCTGTACATCCGTTGTATGTATGTATGTATGTATGTATGTATCCGTGACCGCCTGCTTACAGTTCCACCTTTGCCAACTGCCCACTGCTTCGTCTTTGCAAACATCCCACTACGCCCTATCACCAGCCCACCCTTTCACCGACCATAAAGCAAATACTGCTGATAAGTAGTCACTATAAAAAGCAAGATGATTGTGTGTACTTGTATTCAGGTGCGCGTTGAAGAACCATAGATTGTGCCACCGTGTCCACTCCTTGTTTGTGCGTGACCGCCCATAGTTCCACCTTTGTAAGCTGCCCACTACTTCGTCCTTAAAAGCATTCCACTACGCCCCATCTTCGATCCGCCACTTCAACCATAAAGCTGTTACAATGAAGGGGGAACGGAAGCAACGTATAGCTACCACTTACGAATAATGAAATTTTTTGTCTAAATATATACAGTGTTAGTCACGTCTTTGATGATGTAGTGGGCGATATTCATAGATGGTTCACGGTTTAGCTATGAAACCCTCCAGCGCTTCGTCGCACTCATCATTCACTCCATGGATATGCTGCCATTTTGTTTAGGGGCGAAGCTCCTTGTGATGTGGGTCTGTCGCTCCTCCGTATGCATACGTAGCCATTAGTGGCACAAACCCGCTCTAGAGTGGGTATGTGCCACAGGGGTTATGAGATGGTGGTACTTGGAGTGTTCACCAGATGGACGCACGAACGAGCAGACACTACTAGCAATGGAGGGACACTCGGACAGGATGGACAGACTCACGGACAGATGCATAGATTGACACATAGATGGCCGCGAGGACGGACGGAAGCACGGAAGGGCTGAGGGACGCTTCGCCCCACTCATCATCATTCTCCTCCGTGGATATGCTGCGATTTTTTTTTTTCCCCCACTGGGCTTCAGACTTTTGGGGGTCCGCTTAAAATTGAGGTCGGCCTAGATTCAAGTAAAAGAACGATGATTTCTGACAAAAGGTACATCGCCACAACACAGTTTTAGTTGTCGAATTGTGCATAGGAAGCAATGGAAAACAATGCAGCGATTCTCCTCACCCTGTGAATAAGAATTGGGCTGCTGATAGCTACTGTACGACTGGCTTTGTTGCCCATACTGGTCCTGTCCATAGGTCGTTGCAGCTGGGGTGGCAGCTACATTAGAAGCAGCGCCCCACATGGGCTGTTGCTGTGGTTGCGCAGGTGCTGGCTGTTGCTGCTGAAATGAAGACAGATAAACAAGTTTCTTGGAACTGGTAGAAACTGAGTATGAACTGATAAGTTGTACTACGTAAGCTCGAACTATTCTCTTGGTTACTTGCATGATCAGAAGTGTCATAAGAAGAAAAATCGCACACACTGAGAGTTGATCTAATCGTGGCATGGTCATTTATTGCATGTTTGAGAATCCACGATTACTTTCATTTCTCTGGTCGAAAGTCTGGCTAATACAGTCGAGCCCACATATAACGGCCCCACTTCAAACAAACTATCGTTCAAAGCGAACAATATCCATGTGACTGTGAAAATATACATTGTTTCGATGACACAAAATCGCACTTACAAGGAACGTCTCCGGCGCTCCGCCGACTTCCTGGGAAACCACTTTCGACCACTGATCAGCATTGATCGGCGAGGTGCCCACTGTTAAATGCAGATTTGGCCTCCATGCCCCTCTAGAAGTTGCCTCTCTTTCGGACCACTTTTTTGTTACACGCCCCTCCGTCCTTTGTCCCCCGCTATTCTGAGCAACCCGCATCGCCAGACGCGGCCTGTGTTTTCACACTGCCACGGATCTTTTGAAGACCGGTCGGCTATCTCCTCTGTTTTCGATCGCTGGTACTGTCGTTGGCATTGCCGGGCTGGAGTGACCAGACCATTTGTCAACATCGTCTGTATCCGATCATCTGTGTCTTATCGTACAGTTCTAAAGCACACAAGTATGCTACTCCACCCACTTTAATAATTTGCAATTTGTGTTGTGTTTAAGGCCTGTTCTCGTTCACTTCGCACTTGGCTCAGCCTGCCCTCCACAAGCGTAAAAACTGCTGTTAATTTGCGCGGAACAAACCGCAAAATGTCGAAGTCAGTGAGGCCACGAAAACCCACCGGCGCAACAAAACGATTCTTTGACCACGGCCGCCGCCTGCAGGCCAGGCGGCCGCGCTTACATAGTTTTTCTACACGTGAGGTGCACGTTTCGCGGACACCGCACACGCCGGTCCAGGCGACTTTGCTTAGACCTCTTTTTTACTACGAGTGAGGTGCGCATTTCGTGGACGCCGTGCGCGCCAATCCAGGCAGCTGTGCTTAGACCTCGTTTTTCTACGCGTGAGGTGCACGTTTCGCGGACGCCGCGTGCACCAATTCAGGCGACTGTGCTTACATCTTGTTTTTCTACGCGCGAGTTGCACGTTACGCGGATCTTTCAAGCAAGCTACCCAATATGCCTCTTCGCGTGTTTTGGTTTTCAAGGTCGCTTTCCCGCCGTAACCTCCCCTCTCCACCATATCGCAGCTCCTTGGCCTTCTGCAAATCTTCTCTTTTCTCTCGATCACAACTCCTTCGCCCGTCTCCACCGCTACGCGACGCCAGCCACGCTGGCTCAAATTCAGAAGTTTTGTTTTCCGACTAGAAACTGGCCCAGAGCTATACCATGTGTTCTGGCATGTGTGTCGCGTGTGCACATCCTGCTCGCTTTCAGTGTGCATGTGTGGTCAGGGTGGCGAATGGGCAGCCTTGCACTTTTTCCTGCCGCTCAACAAAATGCCGAAGGTGTGACCGCATGGCTAGGGCATAATCCGCACATTAGGTGCAGTGTTGCAGAGCGTTTGCTCATAGCTGTTGACCACCTGGCAGCCAACTTGCCGCTTCGGGCGTCCCGGTATTCAGCTGAGGAGACTGAATATTTTGTGGGCGGCGGTGACGACTACATGCGCGCGAAACTGTTTTCGTGAGGCCAACTTTGTCGACGTCGGGCCCGATGTCGAGCCTGAAGCTTCCAAAAGGACCACTGCGGCGGCGATTGTGACAGCCCGTCGTCGACTTCGACCTGGGAGAGCGGGTGGGACATTGTTGCGATAGCTTTATTACGGCCGATGATGCCGACACCGCGGAACTGTGCATAGATTAGGGCATTGTGAATGAAGTAAGCGGCAAAAGCACTTTGTAGGAATCGGATTGCGAGAACGACGATACTTTAGAGCCAGTGCCTCATGTAGCTTATGCCACGGGCCTCGACGAACGAGCACCCTGCAGTCCTAAATGAACTCGAGACCTTATCGCTTCTGGGTTTCAAACACTTGCAGCACAAACTATTTAGGGCAAAAAATGTGTTTTCACACGCAACCTTTTAAAAAGCTGCGTGTTTCATTTACTACAGTAAATGGATACAGTAAAGGGATACAGTGAATGGATGCCGTGCCAGGCTCAGGTTCGTTATAAGCGGGCTCGACTGTATAAACAATTCCAGTTTCTCTTCACAAAATAACATGTTACTCGGAAGACGCTAAGCAACTACAGAAAACTAAATGTTAGTTTTTCAACTTTCAAAAACTACGGAATGATCTACCAGTTCATTAAAAATATTCACCTACCATACCATCATATCAATGATTAAAAGCTTACACGTTTTCTTTGTAAACTCTAGCCATTCTTCATATTTAGGTAACTTTTATTTGTCCCCCCCCCCCATTTCTTGGTAGGATTGATTCTTTCAATGAATTTTTTTCTTGTTTGTGTTATGCAATGAAATGTGCTACCACATGCATCTTCACTACCGTGCGGAATATGTAGCTTTCATATATATTCTGTTTTCAATCGACACATTTATTTTTGTCCTGTACTTAAAAACGAAAAATACCCAGTTTTTTTTTAAAGCTGTCAAAAAATACCCAGTACAGTTTTTTTTTAAAGCTGTCAGGCCTCTTTTTGATCTTTTTCTTGTTTAATACTTTGAGAAAGAATAAACTTGAAGTTGATGTCACGCGAAGCAGTAGGCAAGTAGCGGCCTATACCGCATATTTTGAAGTTTTTTTTTTTGCGCCAAGCTTGCAAGTTGGGCTGCCCCTTAATGAGCTGTGAGTAGTTATGGGAATACAGGGGAAAGGTCCATAGCCAGGCACTTTCGCCAGATGTGGGGAACTTGAAGGCCTTGACTATTTGCCAAAAGCACCTATCCTGACAAAGCAGCTATTTGAAGACTGTTTGAAGCACCTATTTGAAGCAAAATTATTTTATATGTGAATACATTTCTTATTCAGGCTATGTCAAGGGTGCAGCGTTGTCCGCACACCAGCAGGTGTTATCTCTCACTCCCTCTCACATAGCAACAGCTGCTGGCGCGTGTGCTTATCCTCGCCTCTAGCAAAGGGAGCAGATGGTGCAGGTGGAGTAGCAGACAGAGTGGAGAGGATGAGTGCGCTCTGGCGTGTCAGGGCACTCGCTGTGGGAGCTTGGAGGAGCTCTCTTCCTGCATGTGTGGAGGCAGTGGAGAGGGTAGGTGCAGTGCTTCACTGATCCTTCGCCTGCTGTTCGCTTTCTCTCCTCCCTGCATCCCCTCTCTCTCACGTATGTATAAAATAAGTGAAACGCTTGCCTCACTTTCGACCGCTCGCTTGCTGACAAATAGAGGCCGGATTTATAGGCACTAAAAAATCGGGGTTTAGGTGCCAAATATAGACAGGTAAAACAGTTTTAGACCACCAAAATTGTAAATAGAGGCACAATAAAGTCTTACGAAAACTTGAATTTCGGAAAAGTACGCGTGGGACCTGTGTCTACGGCACGGAAACCAAAATAAATGTTTTAATTTACGATGGTACAAAGGTGCCAGTGGTTTAACATAGCCGTGTAATTTTTACCCCGCAGCGTTTGCAGAACACGACTTCTCTGATGCTATAGCATTCTTGTTGCCAGCGATATTCTTGCGTACAAGAAACCCCACCCCTAGTTCTTTTCTGTCAACTACTCTACAGTAGCATAGGAAGTCTGTTATTCAACCCTATATAAGCCTCGTGTCCTTTCAACTTCACTGAGCCCTATTACATCCATTGAGAACACCCTCTACATCCTCAAATAGCACAGCTAGACTAGCTTCACTAGATAGCGTTCCAGCGTTAAACATGACCAAGTTCAGGTTCCAATGGCGGCCTGTCTACACCCAGAGACTCTTAGCACCCTCCGCTGCTTCACAGGTATCACTGCGGATGATTAATGGGTGCGTTCATACTGGTGCGGCACCTACCCATTTACAAACATTGAATAGGTGAATAGGAACATTTATGCGGCAGAGTAAGGTCAGCTTCTGAATTGGTGCCCAATCCTCTACAATTGGAGAGACTTGCGCGAGTGGCTGCCAATGGACTGCCACTTACCCCATATCCTGTGGAGGCAGGCTGAGTGTAGCTGGCCTGTGAGTAGTTTTGATCCACACTTCCATAACTTCCATAGGAGCCATACCTGAAAGACATGCCCACATTCACAACAATGTTTGTTGCACAAGTAGTGAAACAGTGCTATTGACAGCGACAAATCTAAAGGCACGACCTATGGTCATTGCTGGCCTCATACGCAACGCTCGCTGTATTTGTGCCTGGTCAGCCTTTTCCTTGATGCCAGGAATGTATACTTTTTCAGCGTTAGCTTTGTGGGGTTTAACGTCCCAAAACCACCATATGATTATGAGAGACGCCGTAGTGGAGGGCTCCGGAAATTTCGACCACCTGGGGTTCTTTAGTGGGCACCCAAATCCGAGTACATGGGCCTAAAACATTTCCGCCTCCATCGGAAATGCAGCCGCCGCAGCCGGGATTTGAACCTGCGACCTGCGGGTCAGCAGCAGAGTACCTTAGCCACTAGACCACCACGGCGGGGCTACTTTTTCAGTGTTATGCTTATCACACTATTAAAGCTGTTTTAATGCCACCTAGGGCTAGACTCAAAGATAAGATCACATTTTATGGGAGTTACCAAAAACCATTGCAAACCTATTTTGATAACTGTTGCAGCTGCACTGTTTGACCTTCTAAAGGCCAAATTCAACAATCTTGTGTCACTAGTAAGAGGGTTGATGTCAATGTTTATACATGACTTGCACTTGATGTCTCTGTTGCAGCGGTCCCATTGCCACAACCATATATATATATGTATGTGAACAGCTGCACGGATGCGCAGTACGACAGTCTTAAGTATAATTGAGCTGACAGCCGCGTTGCCACAGTTGGTGCAAGGCAGCTGTTAAATGTGTCGTACTATTCAGAAATGATAAGAGATGGGTGGTCTCGCCTAGAGGAAAAAATGCGTTTTGCGATGTAGTGGATCCCTACACACTTTGATTCTGAACGGACACTGCGGATGTGACTCGAACATCTCCACAATCTCAGAAGTGTTGCACGAAAACGCGTTTCGTTTTAAGCACCAACTTTGTTACTCCTGTGATGAATGCGACGAGCGAGTCATAGGGGCAAAACCCTGAGCGCGCAATTGAAACGAAAAGGAAGAACGAAGAAGACAGTTCGGGGAGCGTGCCTGGCTGGCTTCGATGGTTGTCTGGGCTTTCGGCCCCGTGTCCTTGGCGCTCACCGCAGTCGAGCGTGACCTGGACGCCAGCAAGACGTCATGGTGCGGGATATCGACTTAAGCTCGCGCTAGCGAGCTACATGAGAGGCGTGTCCCACCGTAGACACTACAGCAACGAACTGAACACCCTGTTGCCGGGCGCTACGGTCAATGCAACGACGGTGCGTGTGGTCATGTTGACTTGGTGTCGCGGAGAGAAGCACGCTGACCGTAACAACACAAGACCTTCTCGCGTAGAACTTTCCATGTATCGTTGCGAGATTCCTTTGAGTGTGTTATTGGGTTGTCTTGAGTGCGTCCGATGACTTGGGCCCATTCAGTAACCCGAACTACTCAACACACCCTGGTGAAATAAAGGTGTACAAGTGAATAGAATCGCACCACTATACCAGTTGGTGGGGTGTGAACTGCCGGTCTGCAAAGGAGCTTTGTGACAGTAAATTTAATCATGCTTTCAGAGGCAATTTCGCCAGAACCAGGATAAAAAAGTGATGCATGTACTCTGCCAAATCAAGAAATGCTCACGTGCGCGCCGAGTTCTCATGAGTGTGCTGAGAGATGCTCGCGCAGCAATGCAGTTTTCAATCACACGTTCCCTTGACTGGTCTGCGTAGTACGTGCGTGTTAACGAGTATTGAGAGTTTAGCCCCTGCATGCATGCAGATGGTCATTAAAAGCTAGCTACATTTGGCTTCTTTAACATGGGTTGCCTCGTGCCGTTCAACCACCACTTGCCACTTTTTTGCAACACTGTGTTGTGCAGCGCCAGCATGCTTGAACCCAGTCTCTGTCTCGTTGAACAATGCGGACAGCTTTCCAATGAACGCAAGAGCATCTTTGTTAATTAGTGTTCATATCTTCCCTCTAGCACTTGCCTACTACGAAATGGTCTCCACACATATAACCATTGGTGTTTTCTTCGTCGAAATTTGAGCACATTATGTGCGCCAGCCAGGCTCTACGACGGTTGGTGCTGAGGATTTTCATATGCTCGCACTGGCCTTCAATACAGTTTGATATTCGAAACAAACTTCTAGTGGCTGCGCTGCCTATTTCTTCCACAGCTGTCGCCACGATTTTAGTAGTCTACAACTGTGCATATAACCGCAGCAGAGGAAGGACCTCGGCAGTGCGTCGAGGCAGTTCTGCAGGTCTAACCGCAGCTTACCAATATGGCAGACTCGCTCAAAGCAGCGACATCGAGTGACTTGGGTGCAAGCCATGTACTGCATCGGAAAGCAATCTCCTAAATTGTTAGCTGTTTTCAAGTACCGTGAGCAAGACAACCGGGGTTTTTTATTTTTTTTTAGCAACATGCAGTTTTCGTCAAACTACCACACAAATTCGCGCATACGCACTTCGTTTACTAGCGCGTACCGATCTCCCGGGTGTCATCGTAAAATACGAAAACCACACTTACCCAGCTGCCGCAGGTTGGGTGTTGCCGTAACTCCCGTATTCTGAAAACAAAGCAGTTTAGCCTCGCTTAGTTAAGTGTACTAACAGGGCAACCTGTACCGAAATTGCATCTTATGTAACCCAAACCTAAACGTGCACGACGAGATATACCAAATTAGAGGACGTCTATTTCTTTGATTGCAAGTAAATACATGCATTCTGGAGTTTCATAGTGTGATAAATGCGCATTTTAACACTTTTTTTATAAATCATTCCGACAGCGCCGCAAAGCGGCCGCACGCACAGCGTTTTCGCCGAACTTATCTATAGCATTTTACAAAAGAGGCGAGACGTGCGACGAGACGACGGCGGGAACATGGCGTCACCGCTATCAGACGAACAAAAATAAAAACCTCCCCCAGATACTTAATGCCCGCCTTATGTTAACTAAAGGTGCCCCATATTTTAACCACTAGAAACCAGCCTTAGGCAGGGATACCATCTATGTAATCAACAAGAAACAACGCTGCGAGCAAGGAAGTCGGGCGAGTTAAAAAAACAGAGAAAAACGATCAGAGCCTACGTCGGACGGGCGGTGCGGCTATCAAGCCTAACGCCGGTCCGCCGATGAACAAAGCGAAAGCAATAGCTCGATTGCCTGAACTGCTGCGCAGGTTGGACTACGTACGAGCACACGGAACAAAAACGGTTACTTACGCGTGGCGTCAGCCATGCCGATGATATATTTCAAAGCTTGCTAGACGAAATCGATGCCGCGTAAACACAACGAGGAAGCCGACTAGAAGATGGCGGGGTGAAAGAACGAAAGGTTACGTCACTCATTTGGGCATGACTCCAAAAACACTCTTCTTTTGTAGCCAATGGACATTTGTGGCGCTAATAGCTATATTTAAAAAAAGGTAAACGTATTGTTCATCAAAACGCGGGTATAACTTAAACAACACAAATTTTATGCGAACGTTTTTGATAAATAAATTGTAGTTATTTGCTCAATTATGCACGTTTCAAGTTATTCAGATACATTACTATGAAGCTGGTAGGTGTTCTGGGCTATCATCATTAACACGTTCTAGGTTTTTCGAGAAATTCTGCCCTTGAGCGTACGGTCATTAGACTTGTGCGGACTTGCGCGACTACTTGCGTTGTCCTTTGCGAGTGTTCGGAACTTTTCCTGCGGAAATTAGCGTTTAAGAAGATGCCTCGTCAAAGGAGGGCACCAGCTGCACCGTACGTACCTCACTGGTTGTGTATTTTTCGTTGAATTTCGGCGTATAGCCAGGTATAGCGGCAGGCAACAAAGCGCCTTCGGCATCACTCGGCCGCGTGTCTTGTTGAACATTGTGTTACAACGTATATTCGTGTTTTACGTTTATCCCGCTGCTTCATAACGCCTTTAATCGTGGCGAGACACTTCCGACGTGGTTTTTATGTTGCAAACGCCGTGTTTTCCTCGTACTGCGCCGTTGGTCGTATCTACTGCCTGTGGGCCTATTGCGAAATACCAAAAATTTCGCCTGAAGGCATCAAAGATTGCTGTCCATTTGACTTACATTTGAGTTATAATTTCGATGGAAATTGAAGCTATGTTTCCGTAGGGATGAAATGCTAGAACACAGGTGTACACGTAGGTCGTGGTGGTTCAGGTACGCAATCAAGATCCTCCTGAAAATGACTCCGAAGTACTCAAGTATGTCTCATATAACCAAGTCAGGTATTTCACGTCTAAGCAATTCTTATCTTACGTACTTTATGATTTTCTCGGGATATCTGTATTGCGCATTGTCTAGCTTCACCGCGAATCACACGGTGGAAGTAAATGAATTAAAATTATCTCGTATTAATACAATTCGCCTTGCAGCATTGCCAAGAAACACTCGCGAAAGATCGTGGATAAGTAATATTAGGTTTATGTTTATTATTTGAGCTGTATCAAGTTGACCGTGTGCTCAGATTCGGGTGCACGTTAAAGAACCCCAGGTGGTCGAAATTTCCGGATCCTTCCACTACGGCGTCTCTCATAAATCATATGGTGGTTTTGGGACATCAAACCCCACATATCAATCAATCAATGTATCAAGGTTGATGCGCATTATCTCGTTGACGTAATAACACATCTTGCTGCGCCATAGCTCACGCTGCTGTCGCGTGCTTCGTGACGTTCTATAGTTAGTGCAGGTAAATTTCGTGCGTGCAAAAGGTCAGCGTTAATTCGGTGCTTGACTGAGACGCACAAGTAAAACGTGCATGAAATCGGTGTACAATTACACTACACCTCGTCAGCCTCAGACGACTTTATCTTCTGTTTGCGCCTTTATCACGTTAACTGATTGATCGTTGGCGCATGACGGATATGACGTTGAGGTGAATTGGTAGGCCATCCTTGACCTCTTTCACCTGGAAAAGTGGATGATGCAATCTCGGTAACTTGGTTTCTGTTTCTGGTTCGGGACACCAGAGAGTTGACGTAATAACCATCCTTATTGTTCTGAAGCCTTGCTTGTAAGCCATCAAAGGACTGCTATGCAGAAAGCGCGGCTTTGGTGCAACCGAGAAATTTTCACACCAGCAACTTGCAAGGTCGTCGTCCTAACAGCTTCTCTTTAAGCATTGTTTTCATTCTTTCATCAGCAAGCAATGTGTATGATGCATTTGAAAGTGAAGCATGCCACAGTTGGTTCATTAGCTGTGTTGTTGTGGGACTTAGGTGAAGCAAATCGAAGAACACTCGGGTAGTCTGAGTAATAGTTTCCTATTACACTAGAGGGAACTCTGACGCTAGTGTCTATGGGAGCTGCAACACACAGCGCTTCGATGAACATGGGAATGATGGGTAGTACACAGATTTGTCCCATTTTCGTACTTTTGGTTCTGGTTGGCATCACGTGGCTTGAAGTTGCTTCGTCATGAAACAAAGATCAGTAATATTTAGCAGTTGCACTTTCACTAACCTTTCAGGTTCACCATTCCAAATCGAATCGGCTCATGAAGTTTATAGCTGTCCGTTCTTTTATTTGAAACAAAACATGGCAATAAATGAAGCCACTAGTGCATTCTAGGTCAGCAAGCACGAAGACTAGGCAAATCTCTGTACTACCCGTCATTTCCATGTTCGCTGAATTATTGATCGCAGCACCAAGGTCCTTGCTAGTTAATTTTAGGAATTCTATGATCTGAATAGGGCTCTTCAATGAGGTGTTTCTTATAGGAGTCGCAGTCAGCAATGTCTTTTGGTAGAATGAATGTAACATAATAACTTAAAGGTTTAGCCAAAGTACCCAGTGTGGTTTGTCTGAAGAAAAGGACCCGCTAAATGAAAACAAGTGTCACAAAGCATACACTGGTTTCTGTGTTTTGGCCTCTGGGATTTGAATGCTGGTGTGCTGATTATGTCCAGGGTGCTGATCTGCAATAGTCAATGTCGCAGTGCTCAAAATTTTTGTCAGCTGCTGGTGTTCAACGACTTCACCGGTATCTATAATACTGAAATGTGCTTTTAACATTGCTGGTGATCTGAGAGAACTTAAGAGATGTTGAGTAGTACTTGGCTGTTGTATGTGCACATGTTTGTAACCAGTCCAATAGGCATTTGTGTTACACTGCAATTGGCTGTAAAATATAAGTTAATGGAGCTAATGGCACCTCAAGTAACCTGAGATTGCTTGGTTTGGTTTGGTAAAACTTTATTATGACTAACTTGAGTGTGTTCTTCCAATTTTTTTGTCAATTATGTTTATGTGAAATCCTAAGTGGTCATACTGTTAGTGAATAGTTGCTTATATTTAAATTCATTCAGCACTCGGGCATATATACATGCTCATGCAAGTTGATATTCTGTTTTTTTTATGGTTGCAGTGTATGACTATAGGAAGGTTTCTTTTGTTAAGTAATAATTGCTGTGACTTCATTTATGGCAGAGCTCCAGGTGTGTTGAGTATTCAAAGTAGTCAGATATTAATTGCTGATCAAGTTCTGTGCACACCGGACTGTTCGGTTGCACTTAGGCATTCTTTTAACAACAGAGCCATTCGTTGTTAAGCCTGTATCATGTGCACAGTCTATACAGGCCACAGGACCAGAGGGGAGAAGAGAATGAAATAAATGAAATGATGATCATGCTCAAAATGAGACTAAGCTCTCTTAGCCTGCTCTTACATACACTGGCATGCTTACAGCTTCACTGTCCAGTGGTTTATGCTGTGTAAAAAAAGGGCTTAGTTTTCCGTCTCTATCTTTATCCTTTTAAAATTGTGTGTGTGGTAATGTTTGTCTGAAATGGGCTACGCATTTTTCGTCTACTGCGTGCAGGATGAGGCGGGCCCCTGCACCCCCACCAACCCGAGCACCGGCTGCACCGGCACCAGCCAGGGCCGCAGCTGCCCCTACACAGCCTGTGCCAACCCAGGCACACCCTCCGGCACCCATGATGTCCCAGCCTCAGCAGCCTGGCATGTTTGCTCAAATGGCCACTACCGCGGCTGGAGTTGCCGTTGGCTCTGCTGTGGTGGGTTTCTTTGTCTGTCCTTTTGTTGTGTTGAATGACTACAAGCTTTATTTGCTCCAGCAAAACGAACATTTGGGCTAGTTGGTGTAAGCTCATCTTGATGGTAAAAAGGGGTTTGCTCTAATAGATAAACTAAAGAAGCCTGTGGGCCTGTGTTTACTTCTTCCTTAGTCTGTGCCTGCTAGTGTGCCCCCTTTCTTGCCATAAATTTGTTTGTTCTGTGTGTGGTACCACAGCTGCTAGATGAAAAACAATAAGATGCACAGCGTGCTGTGTGTATCAAAAACAGTGTCGGACAAGGAGTGCAGGATAGAGCAGCAAAAATTTTTAACACTAGCAATACACACGTTTTGGCCAAATCAATGGTAGGTTACACACCTGAGCACTCAATTCAGGTACAAGTAGTGCTTCTCAGTGCATTTGTGGTGCATTGCATGTTGAATGACAAATTAACTCTATATGTGTTGACGTGAAGCTTCATGCTGTGTCCACCAGAAACTCAACTTCAATAAATAACTTAAACTGTAGACATAAACTAGTGAATAACAAAGAGAACACGCACAAAAGTGTAAATATGTATGCTAGCAAGCTTTTAGAACTAGGTGCATCTGGCATAGAAATAAATTGAGTTGAGCTCATTCGGTAGGGATTGATTTCATGAGACACCAACTCGGCATTAAGTGATTTCAGTAACTCAGGCACAGTATAAATGTTGACATTTTGAAGACACTTGGGGCTTCTAATTCCAAGATATTCTTCAGTGCATGTATTGCCAAGAACGTGGAACTGTGCCAGCTAACTTGTCTCGACATGCTTTTTAAGCCTTTCGTCACCCTGGCTGCTCCCTTGTGTTCTGGCTTGCGATACCCATTTTGATGGGAAACTTATCCTGCTATGACCAGTTTCTCTCACTGACATTTGTGATCCACGTTATTTGCTGAGCGGAACAAGCTTTTTGCCTGTTGTCAACGTATCGATTATGTAATACAATGGCATACTATTACAGTAAAAGCCCATTAACTTGAACTCAAAGGTGACTATAAAACTGCTAAAGTTAAGCGAAGTTCGAAATAGCGGGCTGGCACTAGCATGAACGGACGTTGCACCACACTGCATGGGCAGAACCCAAAAAACTTGTCGAGAACTGGATGTTTGTGGCAGGTGATTTGTGAATTAGGTTCATAGAGCGTCAACAGCAAACAGAATTGATGAGTCACTGATATGCAAGAAACAAGCAGCGACATTCATGTGAGCAATGAGCCTTAACGTGAAGCATGACACTATTTTATTGCATTTATTTATTTTGTTGCAACTCTGTAAGCATTGTTTGCAGCTTTACCATAAGCCCCAGTGCAGTGCTTCTCATCTGCTGAGAAATGCTGCTGTTTCATAGTTTTTTTTTTTTTCACCTCTTGTAAATTTGGTTTGGTGATGTTTCGCAACACACTGTGATCACTTTAGGCTGACTTCTGTGAGGAGCAATGAAAGCCAGGGGCTCGCACTTTGAATTGATCGTTGCAGATATTGGCACGTTTGAATTGACTAAGTTCAAATTACCAAAGTCCAAATTGACGAGTACCCTGTTGTGAGGCTGCTGCTGTGATGACTATTGTGCAGGGGTACTGAAGTGGAGTGCCCTGTTGGCTCCAACTCAGTGGTGTCTGGGGCTGGGAGTGCTCGTTGCAGCCTGTGCCCTTGCCCACTCGGGGGATACAAGCACCTAGTCTGAGCGATGGCTGAGCAATAAATGTGTAGTGGTGATATGGGAAGAGAAAACGTCACTCTGTTCAGATCTGCTGAGAGATGAAACTCCGGAATGAAACACGTTCGTAAGTCTATTCACCAAGCAGAATTATAAGTGGCTAAACTTGTATAGGCGTCTCTTACTGCCAAAGGTGAGCACGCTTGATAGAAAGTCATGTGTATTAACATTCGAAACATGAAGGAGAGTAATGTGTGAATGTTTTTTTACTGGCAAAAAATGTTTGTAGAATACCTTGCTCACTCTGCTTCAACGTCTGAGGTACTGTCAAAAGGATCAATTTACATGCAGTAATATTGTGTTAGCTGCACCGCTGTACCGCTGAATTTCTTCCTATGTGCCCCTTGTGCTGCTGTTATGGCAAATTCTGTACATGACTCATTTATTTTGCTTGAGAAAATGCTCAAATTCACACTCCCTTCTTTAACAAAAAAAAAAATATTCCTATTTCAAATGCACCACTTCTAAAGTACTTTTGATCGTGCGCCACTTGTGGGACTTGACCAACATTACTCTATAATAGAAATCACTTGCACAGTAAACTCTGCTTAAATGGAACCTGAAGGGACCAGGAAAATATGTTTCATTTAATAGGAGTTTCATTTACCGAGAGATGATTAGGGTTGCATACTTTGAGTACGAAACCAATCATGATAGAAACATTTATTTTTTTAGTTCACTGAAAGTTGAGTGTATAGGGATAGCTCTGACCAGGTGTAAGGTTCAGTAAAGGCTGATAAGATGTTCTATTTTGCCAATTAAGTAGTTTTTGTGCACGGTGCGCCTACCAACAACACTAGTGTGACATCAGGCTACAATATTAGTATTAGTGACTTTGAATACTCCATACAATATTGCCACTTATGCATCACCGATGAAGCAGAACGGCTGTGGAAACGTTGCAGTATCTTGTAAGAGCATGTGACAAGAACAGTGTCGTAATACCAGGCTACAATAATAACAGAAACTAGTTTTTTAAAACATGTTGTGATAATTTTTTTAGGGTACATTCATGCTGACCAGTACGTACAGTAAGCTCTTTAGGGGTTGGTTTTTTTCATTCAATGCAAAAAAGAAATGTCAGCACCACAGCAGTGAACTTGCATTGCAGGGCCACACCATTGGTCATGCCCTGACCGGTAGCTTCGGAGGGGGAGGCGCTGAGGCAGCTCCCGCTGCTGCTGCTCCTGCGGCTGCTGCACCACCCATGCAGCCACAGCAGCAGCTGAGTGGCCCATGCCAGTACGAGCTCAAGCAGTTTTTGGAGTGCGCCCAGAACCAGCATGACATCTCGCTGTGCGAGGGCTTCAACCAGGTCCTCAAGGAGTGCCGACTCCAGCATGGTGAGTGGCGCCTTTAAACGATTTTCGGGGCCTTTCAATCCTGTCGGATGCAGCAAGTGTAAAGACCATTTCTTTGGCTGCCCTGCCATGCACCCGTGTGTATACCTAACCTCGATATGGTGACTGTGTAAAGAAAATAAGAAAAAAAGAACCTAAGGTAGTCTTGCAGTGTGGCAGACGGTGGAGCTAAGTAGTTGACCTCTTCAAAAACCAGTATCTATATATATATATATATATTAAGTGTGAATACACTTTATAAGCGACCCCAAACCATCCACCGCCGTCGGCGGCGTCCGCAGTCTTCTCTCTCTCTCTCTCTCTCTCTCTCTCTCTATATATATATATATATATATATATATATATATATATATATATATATATATATATATATATATATTATATATATCGGTGTCAGTAACGCGCCTTATATCCAGATGGTAGCATTGCCTCCGGGACATCCATCGCACGACCTGCTCTCGACGGGAGCCCGAGAGAGAAGGCGGGCGTGCGAGAGAGAGGGGTGCGCGCGCAGCTGCAGCGAGCGAGGAGAGCGGAGGAGCGACACCGATATCAGCGTCACGTCCGTGGCTTATTCGGTAGAGCGTCGCGCTGCGGCCCGCCAAGTCCTCTTTCTTTTAAAGATAGAGAGAAGACTGCGGACGCCGCCGACGGTGGTGGATGGTTTGGGGTCGCTTATAAAGTGTATTCACACTGAAAAGTATTCCAGACTTTCAAGGTCAATGACTGTTGACCTCTAAACGTGACTCATAATCTTGAGGCATAATGACACCAGCAACCAACAAATTTTGCTAGACCAAATCGGTCAGCAATGGTTTCTTTGGTCGAAAAGCGATCGCTTTTTATAAAGTTGCTTCAGCTCCAAGAATGGAGTCCAAACGTTAGTAAACCGATCAGCAGTGTAAGGGGACAACGTCAGAATAACTCAAAGGCTAATTTACGTGGCCATGAAAATGGAACAGATGTAAACAGAAACAATCACATGTTTGACGGAGAGCACGTCTCTGCCACCACGGTAAAAGTCGGTCACTGTGAGTAGCCTCAATCAAGAGTTGCGCAGTGCTGTCAGGCACAGGTGTGAATGGTGCCTTACTGGCATCATTTTAGTCCTGGGAGCATTACCAGTGAAAAGTTAGTGTTATAACGTAACCTGCTGCATATACGGGAAGTGTGGTTATAATCTTTTTGCAAGCACTTGTGCATGCATGCTTGCTCACTTTTGGAGGGAATGTCTCTAGCACAGTTTGTCATTATACTAAAGACATTGTTTTGAATTTTTGGCAGCCTCGTACACAACGGTACATTTGACCAGTTCGAGCACTTTCAGCTGTATGTGCTGTGCAACTGAAGCGGCTGTTTTTAATTTCAGGTGGAGGCATGTGAAGTAGACCAAGAATCTGTGCTGTTGGGCCCACTTCAGGAACAAGCTGATCAACCATGCTGAGGAGGGCATTATCTTTGTGCGCATGTGTAGAAAGTAATAAAAGAGAAAGTTCTGTAGCATGTTACTCTTATCGCATCTGTTAATTGCAGGGGATTGTTTCCAATAAAACTTGGAAGTAGTCCCTGTTCATGTGCACTGCTCAAAGGAGCTACACAATAACATCCTTGGCTTTGCACCTCATTGATAGCAGAGCTTCAATGATTTCATTTCAATGTGCAGGAGAATGTGTTCTTTATACATAATTACCTATATGTGCTACATTAACAAACAGCAGATCCATTTCCCATGTTGTCTATGTCGAAACCCATATTGTAGGAAGATATACCATACAGCCGAATCCAGACATAGGAAGTCTGGTTATAACAAGTTATTTGGCAATCCTCTTTGAAAGGTCTACATTGAAGAGATTAAAGGAGCCCAGCAACACTTTTTGAGCATGGTCAAAAAACACTCTCGATCAATAGTACATGTTCCAGAGAACACAAGAGTCAAATATTATAGGGCAGCATGCGGCCTGCAATTCACAATAAATTCTCAAATTCAGCTAAAATTGCTTTCTTTTCTGTCAAGAAGTGATGAAGAAAACTAAAAGATAACTCGTAGAAGGCCTATCAGCCAATCGGCTGATTTGAACATGGCGCGCTCGGTCGCTACAGGGATCGCCGTAGGAGGCTGCAACTTGTCCACACGTCTGTGCACGATCACTCTGGAAAAGCCACCCATTCATAGAAAAAAAAGTTCCCAAGGTCACGAGGCATGCGTGACATATTTTCTTTGCCTATGCAATCCCTCCTGCTTAGCTTCTAGCGCTTTTGTCTGGACGAGACAACAGAGAATGCGATTGCAACATGCGACTTATCTCTGCAACTCCGCTCTTACTGGACAGATTATTGAACTTTTAGCAGCGTTGAATTCATGATGCAATAAGCTCTTTTAGTGAATCTATTCCATGGTTACTAGAAAAAAGTATTTAAGGGCCCCTTTAACCTTTTACTATATTGAACGTTGTAGTTGCACCAAGTTGTGACCCTGCAGGTACACTTTCCTTCATGATAAACTGTAGCCTTGGATCATTGTAAATGTTTATGCCACCCAAAAAGAGCCATATTGGCATATGCTGTCAAATTGGGCAGTTTGAAGGGCACTGCATGCCATTGAGGGGAAAACGAAGAAAAAAGGATGCAGATCTCTAGGTGTGGATAGCTTGGGCTGTAACACGGTGCAAAATACTTTAGGTGAGCCAACGCCGGGACAATCCGCTGCCCGATAATGTTCTGCTTTGCTAGGAGTCTGGAAGATGGCGCTACAAACTTTGCCCCAGCTTCCCCTCGCCCCTTCTCGGTGTAGGAAAGCCCCGTGATGTAGGAAAGTAGCAGTGCTCAGTTATCGTCGCCACAACACCCTTGCTGCACCTGTCAACCTCCTCCCTTATCATCCCGTCTTTAGCAGCGCTGGCGCTGCTCTATGCGTGTCGCGTGGTTGATATCGCACGATTACCCGGTTTTATCAGATTTCGAAACCGTGGCTTACGTGCCGGATGTGCTTTGCAGAATTCGCCAGCAGCCCGCCACGGTCCTTAGTCCGGCGAGTCATCTATCAGCACGCCGCAAATGAGAACATAATCGGTCTCTCCCCACCAAGCGCTCGCTTCGCGGTGTTCGCTCACCTAAGATGTTCTTGCACCGTGGGCTGTAATAATTCTCCACTAAAGCTGTGCAAATAGTAAAATTTTGGGTACGAAGTGAATTTGAATGCTATTAAAATGCAAGTACAAATCTAATACACCATTTTTCGAATACTTGTTTAATATTTTTTGAATACTTTGAAGCGACATTACAGAAAAAGCTGCAGAGAATCCCCAAGTACATTTTTACTGAATAGAAACATGCATCTTTGAACTAAGTTGGTTAAATGCAGTAGGGCTGGTGTTCCCTAGTTGTTTTATCAACGATCAGGCAGTGGAGACTGAATTATATTTACGTGACTTGGTGCAACCAAGGGGGTGTCACAACACTTTACATGCGAAAGGAAAATGCTATATATTTAGCCTTTCTCCCTCCAACTTCTGTGGAGGCCCGACTGGTTTGGCAAACAAGGTCGTACTCCCTTCGAATTCAGAGTTATTAGTCTGTCTTGTAGATGTCATGTCGCTGTATAAAAACATCTGAAATTTCGGATGGCTGAAAATCTTCAACTTTTTTTAACTTTCTGGTCTGAAACGGCATTGACTAAAGCCTGCACCTCTGTTGCATAGTTTCAAACCAGTGCTTTCGTGAGTCAATTCATTTATAGCTGCAGCAGAGCCCTGAAGGCCGCTTTGCGGCACAGGTGTGTGAAGCGGTGAAGCATACTGAAAAATTATGAAGGGGCTATTGTAACGGAACTGTGCATCTCTATGTTGGAACCAACATGTTCTTGAGTTAACACATTTGGAACTGTAGCAGAGTCTAAAAAACAGCTTCGCCACAATGTGAGACCTTCCCTCTAATACTTCAATGTCATGCAGTGAAGTATACTAATAAAGGAACTCAGCGCCTTTTAGAGAATCGTACCACCTGCAGCCTATATCGAACTGCCTTGTGATGCCTTTCAAGCTTGATAGAGTATCCAGATTTGACTGGATACTCTGTATCCCTAGGTACCACCTTATTTTGTCATCTCTCCATAAGCAATATACTTAAGTAAAGCTCCTGGATAAAATAAAAGTGAAACTAACTCTTTTTTCGTTTTTCTATGCTGACGTTTGCTCTCGTATATGCTGACCAGGGGCTCCCGCTTTGCAGTGCGTAGCTAGCAGATGCTCTTTGCATCACTGTGACCTTAAATCAGTCACACTCGTCAGCTGGTATTTCAATGAGATTTTTTTAATGTTACATTATTACTGGCTGTTAGAACCAACGAGCAGACACCAAAGTGTTGTTGCATTTGGGCAGCTTTGATATTGGTAGCAAGAGACTGAAATGTGCCACGTGCGAATTCGATTCTGATTGGAATGCTGACAGCTAATACCTATCAGTGGGATGATGCGAAGGCAAAAACATGTTCCTGTGAGAAAAGACGCTTTGTGGAAAATCCTAGAGTTCTTAGTCTGTAAACGTGGCAATGGCACATCAACAACTAAAGGTGGAAGTGCATACATAATTTTTTGAGAGCCAAAAAGACGACATGCGGCAGACGCCGGCATTGCCCCTCAAGGCGCCTGACATGCAAGCTGAGAAGTGTCTCCACCTTAATAGTCTGTATGTGGTATAATGGTCGACAAAAAGGAGATGCATTTGAAGACGTGTTCAACGGACTTTGGCACAAATGTTGCAAATAAACTGCAAAACGAATATGGTTCACTTAGGTGGATGAAAACCTAATAGAGTTAGTGATGTGCGAAAAGACGCTCGCATGCCTCACAGAGCCAAGACCGTTTCGCTGGTTTGAAGTCAGCCCGACTGATTCTACGATTCCAGATGTTTCCGCGTTCTGCATCTTGTTTCTCAGATTGAATCCGAAAAAAATGCTTGCTGTCAGTTTCACATACATGTACTGCACCCGAAGGTAAAAAGGTATCACAAACATAGCACGAGTGAAACCACGCCGTAAAAGTGCAAAAAAGAGGTGCAAAGCCTGGTGCACATGCGTGCAGCTCACCGTGCTGGGCACTGCCATGGAGGTCAAGCCCTGTAGATACAGAAAATAAGCAGCAGGTAATGCGTGCGAGGGAAGCATGGCGGTGCTTGGCCAATGAGGGCACGCAGCATAGAGAGATAGCGCAAAAGAGGACAGGAGCAATTAACAATAGATGGTGTTACTTTTGTTTTATTCGGATAGCAATTATATGGACATTCTCGGCTGATTGTTGCCGTTGCATTCATGTCCCGGATATGTATTGTCACAATGCAGAAACAGCAGCAGTTGAATACAAGACAACTCATTTTAATCATACCAGAACACAGGCTAACTGATCGGATGAGAACCTCGATTTTCTCTCTCCCTGCGCGTGCTCTTCATTGTTCTCTTGGTGCTGCATATTAATTGTGGAAATATTGTGTGTTTAGATATATACAAAAGGCAAAAAGGAAAAAGTTCTGAAGTACCCAATCGGAGAATTGCACCAGTGACGCCTCGCTCCTCAGCGCGCTGTGTTAACCAACTAGGCCGCGCTGCTCATAAATAATTTCCATACCACTAACGTTAATATATATATATATATAGAGAGAGAGAAACCTAGAAAACTTGACAAAATCTGAAAAAATGAGTATGAGAAATCTGGCATATAGGACAGACATAACAATAAAACCCACTGACAAAGGAGGAGCAATTGTAGTCCTTAATACAACCAACTACTTACAAGAAGCATACCGCCAACTAGACGACTCAAGATTTTACGAACGCCTCCTGGGTGATCCGACAGACGAATACAAAGGTATCGTATCAACAGAACTAAAGAAACTGCTGGATGCAGAAAAGATAACCAACACTGACCACAAACTGATGCGAGCAGCATACCCTCGTCCAGGTCGCTTCGACATCCTTCCAAAAATTCATAAACCCAGTAACCCAGGTCGACCAATCATATCGGGCATCGGTACAATAACTGAACCCATATCAGGGTACGTGGACAAACTAACAAGCCACACTCCATGCACCCTCGCGTCGTACATAAAAGACACCACACATTTTCTTCGAGACATTGCAGGTCTGTGTGTGCCAAAAAACTCGTACTTGGTTACTCTTGATGTCTCTTTATTGTATACAAATATTCCTCACGATGACGGCATAGCTGCATTACAAAACATGTGCACAAACCATAGACAATCTAATGCCCCAGATTTCTCTGCCATCGCAACTTTGACGGGAATGGTCCTCGAATTAAATTCATTAGAGTTTAACCAAGAGTATTTTCGACAAATCAGCGGGACCGCTATGGGCACCAAAATGGCAGCGAATTATGCAACATATTTATGGGAAAGCTAGAATTGGAATTCCTTGCACAAAGTTCCTTGAAACCCCTGTTATACAGAAGATACATAGACGACATCTTTCTTAATTGGACCCACAGCGAGGACGAACTTC